CAGGGACTGTTTTTAACATTTGTTAAAGGTTGCTCTTAAAAAACAAACTAAACAACAAAAAGCCCAAACCTACACCTTTAATAGAAGGTTTTTAAGCAGTTACACAGAAATACCACTTGTCAGCCCAATCTTGGAAAGGGAAGGTGCAATGTAACATGAGGTATTCAACCACTTCCGTGGTTAAAACTTACCTCCATTTACTTGCATTAAACACAGRCTAGAAATATATATATGCTCTTTATTATATCTCTGCAGACAAATATCTAYTCCTTTTAGTATAACTACCCATTCCTTTAAAGACAGTATCATCATCATAAGCAGTTGGATACTTTTCTCTTTTTAAAGTTGATTTACATGTCCAGGGCAGGGACAAAACACAGCATTGCTACAATTAGTTATCTACCAGTAGCTAATTAAGTATCCTAAACCATCCTAAATTGCTGATCTGTATTAAAAAAAGGCAATCAGGCTTTTATTCAACAATAAAYATGGGCTTTAAAAAAGAGCTCTCACTGGGGCTTTAGCTTAATGTATTCTATCTGTTTCCAAGGAAATAAAACTACAGGCACTCAGCTACTGTGCTGAATGCACAAAAGTTTAAGTGACAAGTAACTCAGCAGCATGACCAAGCCCTCAAGAATTTATGTCCTAACGATCTGAACAGTATTTTCACTCTGCAATTTCAAAGGAAAGATATATACTACCATGCTACATTGCAGTAGAATGTCTGCAACTGCCAGGATAGAGCCAGCTTTCACTGCTCCAAGTTTTAGAAGCCTGCTGGCTTTCTCAGCCAGTTAGCCCACATTGAATTTTGCATTACTATTTGAGTACTGCTGTACACAGTAGCACAAGCCACATCCTCAGGTTTCCAGGACTKTCAGGGAGAATGTTTAATAAGCACTCTCCAACTATACAAGCTATTTTGGGATTATGGAAAATGGATGTTAATATACCTGCAATAGTGAAATGCTGGTATTAAAACACCAGCCGTCTTCAGCAAGGAGGTTGTTAGCGAGAGCTTCCACAGTTGTTCCTAAAACGTTAGGCTGCTCAAATAAATTTCAAAGGTGTTTCAYGCATCAAGCTGCCTGGGGAAGAGAAGGAGAGCGCATGCACAGGAAAGAGTGACATTACAAGAGGAGGAAGAGAAAACACAAAGCTATAATACAACAACGCTTTTTTTTTGGTTCGGTTTCAAGAAGCAACTGGGCTCTTTTTCCACTTTGTTTATCATCCTTGCTTGCTCATTGCATGCTCTCCCCCTTGCACTACACAGACTGAAAGGATGCAGACATTACTACCAAACCCACATCGGGAGCAAAAACAAAAAAAAACAAACAAAACAAACAAAAAGCAGGAAAGAACGGAGGTAGCAGCACCTTTCAGGTTATGATGCACTTAATATTAGACAATTAATATAGCTAAYATCAGATTGAGAAATATAAAACAGTAAGTGTAAGCATATTAGCTCACTGCTTTACGTGCACTCAAACCTAACAAATACAAAGCTTGCCAGAAGCAGCATTTTCCCTACAAAACGAGGTGAGCAGACTGCAACTCTGCAGAATCACCTAACTGTGAAAGAAAAGCAGCAGAACCGACTGGGTGATGAAACCTCCAGCAACACCAGCCTACATAGGTGCTAAATGATCCCTGAACACAGCTCTATTTAAAAAACCACAGTGTGAAGCAATGGCAGAACTGTTGGGATGAYACTGAATGCTACTTTGGTTTTCCCTTCCTTTTGCCCCACCAACCTTCTTTTGTGGGGCTGTGCACCACTCTGCTCCTCTGCCAGCTGTCTTCTGTCTGCAACACCCCAGCCGCAAAGACAAGTTTATGCAACTGGTGCCACCCTCTGGAAGAAACTATTATAGTCATTTATGTGACAGCTATTACAAAATAATAGGCCCTCCACTCAAGGCGTGCAGTACTGGAATGTATTATTGTTGACAGAGCATGCATTTCCAGCAAAACATTTCAAACTTTCAATATATGAAGAGCCTAACTGGACAAAATATTACAAACAACTGACTTCCAAGCACCTCAAGAGAAACCACGGAATGGTCAGGAAACAGAAAAAGCGTTAGAAGACAAAAGATGAAAGGAGAAAGAGAACAAAGTTACTAAATATCTACACTTGCAACACCCTCAAATACAACTGATGGTTAACTGAAAGAGACTTATGAAAAAAGATTGTGAAGTTTTAAGATGCTGAAATGTGCTGCCTTCCGCATTGTGAATATATGTAAAAATCCTTTTAAAAAAGCAGTATGGTATTTCTTCAGTCAGCCATTTTAATTATACAAGAAGTGATAATGATAAAGCAGCCTTGAATYTTAAGATATTCAACAGCTCTGAACAATCCAAGTAATTRGATTCCAGGAGAGCAGTGGCTGTAAGTAAAACAAGTCAATGATTTTACGTAAGCATCAATGCTCATCTATGYAAAAGTGCAAATTCCAAGTATACCACTGCATAACACCMTTTTGCCTTGTAAACTGATACGAGCAGAATAGAAATGTTCCTTGGCAAAATAATGATCAAGAGAGTTTAACTTACTGCTCCTTTTCCTTCTCCAGGTATTCTTCAAGAAAATCCATACAGGTTGAAACTTGTTGTAGGAACTTCGGTGAAGTCAGAAAGGCTTATGGCATTGCGTACTACCTTTATTCATTATTTTGATTTTGTGTTTTTTATGTATGTACTTCTTAATGTCTATCCAAGTATCCTCCCCCAAAATGTCTCAATTAAACCATATACTGCCATAAATAACATCATTAGATCTCTTCATGCTGAGATGCACATCTCTAGCAGTCAATAGYAGAATGGTTCCAGGACCACAGCTAGGGAAGCAAAGCATCAAAACTTGCAACCGAACAGGAATCCTTCTCAGGAAAAAGTAACTTGATGTACGAACGATACAGTAAAGCAAGGTACTTAAATACTACAACTCCTAGCCTCAGGGAAAGGAAGAACAGTGYCACAGTAATGAGTACAAAAGAACTTTGTTCAGAAAGTAGTATCATAGACCAAGGTATCCCAACAGGGCTCTGTTGTTGAAGTCTCTAAGACCAGCCTCTATTTTTATGTTTGGTTAAGAATATACAAGATTGAAACACTGCTAACATTAAAACAAACAAATCAAACCTGACACCCCACAACTGAGGAAAAACTTGAGAATGCAAATAGAGAAGAACAATTATACTTTGGGAAGAAYGCCTAATTCTTTTTCACCAACTTTCCATTCAAGTGATCATGTATTATAGGATAAAACAACTGCTGACCTGCATTCTAACAAATAGGAAATAGTCTTTGTGAACTTCTGTCCTCTCGTCTAAGCCCAGATGGATATCAGATTGCTTACTCCAGCCATGTATTCCTCACTCRTTGGAGGCCTCAGCCTTTTAAATCCTGAGGCAGCCAGCTACCATCCTTATTTCCTCGCAACAGCAGGCTGAGCAATAAGTGAGGAAGAGACAAACGACAGAGCTTCTCTTGGATCCTTGCAAGACAATGATTAATGTTGTGACATTTAGTTCTCAAGAGAAGTTATATTATAAAGGGTCCCAATCCTATAGTCCTCATGATTCAAGTATACTCAAGGATCTACACACATTCATGGGTACGTCACTGTCAATACTTGGCACTCTTGATTCAAAAAATATTTTCAATGAAGAATAAAAGAAACACCGATGTGCACAACGGTTCGTACCACACATCAACAAATACTCTAGAATTATGCTCTGCAACAAGTGATTAAAAATTGAGGAAAGGAAATGAAGGCAATGACAGACACTTCAAAGCACATACTGCATTGACAGAATCCCATGAACATGTCTTTTGCACTCAAAAAACTGCTTGAAAATTATTTGAAAAATACAGCTTAGATATTTTTGTTTCCATCAGATCTCTAGTACTATTTATTTGCTGATACTGTGTTTTCCAGGCTGAAAGATGTAGCTTCCAAAAAAAGTACCAAACAAATACATTCYTAGCAGTTAAACTGACAGAAAATATAATTTAAACACACTGCTAAATATATCTGCCTGCTATCAAAACATACCTTAACCAGCAATTTTTTTTTGCTAGATGTGGTTTCAAAGAGTGCGCTATAAAAATTCCAAGTAGAGGGAACACTACAACTTAGATTTCTTTGTACATATATATGTCCCAGAAAGTCAAGGAAGAGTAGAWAAGGGCAACAAGGTTTAATTATTTTGCAAATAAATGACAGTCATGGAATCTCTCAAATCTTATTGGGAAACCACTTTTCTCAATTGTTACTTTCACATACTCTGGAAATACATTACAAAATGTTCCATCTCATAGTGCTGGCATTATGGATACTGGATTTCCTCCRTTGGAAATTACACTTTTTCCTTCTATTACAGCTCCTAGAGACGTTACTTGGTTCTGACTTACAAAAATAAGCACACAGTGCTGTACCTGTGGTTCTGCTGAGGCACCAGAAGGGATGTCTGACAAGACTTCTGATTTCTGACTGCCTGAACTAGCTGTRCTTTCTCAGCCTTTAGTCTGTCTTCTTGGCCTGCAATCTTCTACAAAGAATTAATTAACAGGGAACTTCACTTAATTGACTTATTGTTCAACATGCTACAGAGGACCAACCCTCTCTACATCTAAAAAGGACAGATAATCTTCCACTAATCCTTACCTTCTGTCAGTCCAGAAAGAGAAAGAATTTATATCAAATAACTGTCTTGAAGAAGATCATATAGAAGTTTTATCATGCTTCAGCACATAAATGGCCAAGAAGTCAATACCTTCATGATACTATGTATTCCCTGATATTGCCATGACCCTCTGCAGCACATGTGCTGTATGAATAAAAAATATGACCTTGCATGTAAAAGTAGTATGCACCAACAAGCATGCAACACCAGCAATATTTGTTCTTAACGTTTATTAATGCATATACTGTATTAAAAAAAATTGGAGAATTTAGTTCTGTGAAGAAATAAAAAACTTAGGAAATATGCCTTTAATATTTACATATTTTCAAAAATTTCAGGTAAACTTTTAATGTGGGAAAAAAGCATTCTGAACAGTTGCAAATGAACTTTGGACGGGATCCTTATTACATTAAACCRAATACAGTTTACATCGTCTTACAGGTGCAACTGCCTGTCCTGCTCCATCAAGCCCACGCAGCACTAGGGCCCGAGAACACAGCAAGGTATCCCAATGTATTCCTCATTACATGATCAAATCCTCAAGAAGTTTTCAAAGGAGCAAGTCACATTTAAACAACATGTTTATAAAAACACATACCAAAAAAACAGTGAAAACTGTCAGACTGACATAATCAATTAGTATATAGCTTCTTAAAACCATGGCTTAATAGTCCTTTCCAACATTCTTCTCACCAGATCTTTTAACAACTGGAATTTTAAAAGACTTTTTTCCCCATAATTTCTTGAAAGAGGAAACAAACAACACTCCTGACAGGAACATAAGAAAGACTTATTGTTTTGCTCTCACTTTCCTTCTTGCATCCTTATGTTTCTTCCGGCATTCCTGAAAATATTTAAATTTCAAAACAATATTATGAGAAATATATAAATCATGTGTTTGTCTTTTAAATACATTTCTTTCATACACTAATTGCTCCTGTGCACTACAAAAGGCTCAATAACTTACCTGGTTGGACATCAAAACATGATGTTATATTCACTATTGCATTAAAAATTTAGATAAACCCCTGGTAGTAGCAAAGTTTCAAGCCTTTCTAAAACTCCTTGATTCAATCTTATTAAAAATTAAAWAAACAGTCCTATTCCCTTCCTCATGCTCACCTTTCTTTTCAGCTGCAATTAGCAAGAAACAAAAATTACAATACTTACCTCTAGCAATAAACTACGTCTGTCTTCCCAGGTCTCTCTTTCTTCGTTGAGGTTTACTGATCTACAGAATAATTTAGGGCCCTCTGCACAAGACAAAGAACAATTCAGTATGGTTTGGGATATGCTGTCCTTTACAGACCTCAGAAGTACAACTGGCAGCTGAGTCWCTGACAGACATGCATTTTCTGCACGCATATCCCTCTTCTGCCCCTATAATATGGCTTAATCATAAACAGGATTACACCCTGGCATCCAAACAAAAATGGAAAGAAGTGCATTTTTTCTTAAAATGATGAAATWTAAGTTGTAGCAAATCAGTCTCTGTCCACTATGAGCTCAGGAGCATGATTCTACAAATCTCCCAAGAAAATTTGTGCCTTCTCTGGATACAGAGCTCTATAAATCAGATATTTAGACTGAAAGATTATAGTAGAGGAACTGTTTTAGTTGCACAGTAACTTTTATATACACACACTCTCAGCATTTTTTGACTTGTCTCAGGAAACAAGCATTATTTATACGATAAATAACTAACAAAATGGCCTCATCAAAAGCAAATATATATTTAAACTATAAATGTCATATCTACAGAATCACTACACTCAAATATATCAAAATACATACAGGCATACAGGATCAAAAACTATACAGGCATATGAGTTCTAGAAAACATATTAAAACCTTTAAATACCAGAAGTATGGAAAAAAATAAGATCATATATATGCCTGAAAGCATCCAAAATGTCCAAAATAGCTTGCCAAATTATTTTTTTGTAAGGCTAAAAAAAAAATCCAAAAGCTACCTATTAAGGAATGATCTGGAAACAGGAGGGGAAAACAGCTTTACATTTATTATACCAGGAATGTACATAAATTCTGTTAGGATACACTACCACAATTCATAATATAGATAATGACAAGAATTGGTATTTTTAAGACCTCATCTATAMTTCAAACAGAAACCATTAACAACTAGGCAATTAGTTATCTTTAATAAATTTCGGTAGAGTGATGGAGAAAAAGAAAGTGTTATACCTCTTAATCGTTCATCATCTTTGGAGAAAAAGAAGAGCCTAGTGCTTCCTGCTGGTGGCAAAGATAAAAATCTAGGAAGAAAACAATTTCAATTTCTATTCATACAAAGTTGTAATGCTTCAGGGAAATATGCATTTAAGAACATGCATTTAAGAACAACATTACTCTGTATTACCCAGACTCTTGGCCAGAACAACTACCTAACTACATTATCATGCATTCAGCTGGAAACTCAGTTTTCATATTCAAYTTCATACCAGGTGTGGTAGAAGGATTTCTGACCAGGGTGTTCTGCAACGGCAAGGAATAGCTTCCTAATAAAAGGACTTATATTATTAAGAGGTATAGAAAAATCATGCTGGCTTTCCATGTGATGAGTTTCCAAGTATTTCCAYTGGAGTGATGCCATTAAAATCCTCCCAGTCTCAAACTACTGCAGTGTAGCAGACAATATTTACAAGTAAACTTACACTTCGTGGTCCTCTTCATCTTTCGATGCTTCCGGCTCTTCATCATCCTCAGAGCTGCTGTCTTGGAAACGTGGATCTTCTTGCCATGCAACTTTTACAGGTTTTATTGTTTCAATGACATAAGGCTCTGCAGTAATACCATCAGAAAAAAATATTAATCYCCTCTCTGAAAAGAAAAACTGCTACCTAAGAATGAAATGCCTAACTGGGAAGGGATATATTTAAACTGGACAGAATCCTCACATCAAATATTCCTCTGTGATCATCTGGACATAGGTATAAATTTAGTTTGCCATCTTATGTGTTACATATAAAACCTTTAAATCCACAACTGTCATCATCACAGCTTGGGGRAAAAAACAGTGAATCCTTTTGAAACTCACTGTTGGGGTCCAGAGTCCTGACCAGGTAACTATGCCCTAGTAAGTCATTTCTTACTGAACTGGGATAGCATCAGATATTCAGATTTTCAGCTTGCAGAAGATAAAAGCTTTTATTTTCCATTGTGAACTATCYTGATATAGAGTTCAAAAACTACACTCACAATGCCTTAGCCTAATCTTTGTGTATACAACCAAGCTAATTCTTTCTTTCTCTGACAATTAAGTGTAGTTACCAAGCCCAACAGTAAATAAAATATGAAAATCAAATACTTTCTAATTTCTCATACTTTGAAGAAAAATTAGAATATTCTGTTTAAAAAAAAAAAAAGCAAATGAACAAGCATTTGCAGTGGAACAGACAAAGCTGATGTTTTCCAAACAAGCCACAGTTGTGCTGAATAAAATGACAACAAAAGCACTTAATGGTTAAAATCTTACTTAGCAGTGAACTTTGGACTACATCTCCACTTACGTGTATGCCAAACTCCATATTGCAGTATCCAGAAGAAATATGAGCTCTTTTTATTTGTTAGCTTTGCACGTAACATCCTCTTATTTGCTATATTACTACTAAAGAAATTTCATGACTTGATTTGCTTCGTAATATTTTATTTAGGGCAGGATACTTTTTGTTACGTAGACCCAATAATATCAGATATAAACATACAATTAGGTACATACCAAAAAGTTTAGGATCTCCTGCTCTCCTTTAAGATCTTTTGCTCATAATACTACCTTATTTAGCGTATATTTTATTTATAAAATCTTGTTTTTTGTGTGAAGCCTGCTTTGTCCAATTTGAGAACTCCAATGTATGTCAATGTGTTTTCCAATCACCTTTCAAGAAACAATTAGATATTATCTCTTTCTGAAACCATTATGTCTTGCAAAATTATTAGGAACCAAACACAATTAACTATGATTTAGACTACAAAGGCCTTGGCAAGTATAAGATGAGATGATAATGATTTTGCTTAAGCACTGAGTACAGCCTATAAGAATTGCTAGGTTCTGAACTTGAAATATGCTCTATAACTCTACAGTGCTTGACAACTTTCTCAACAGATATTGTACTCTTAACTATGTTTTCCTGTTACCTTCTGTTACGGCTGACTCATCCACATCACTAAAGAAGGAAAATGTGAAACCACTAGACTCCTGAGCTGCGTTACTGCCAACATTAGGTCCCAAAGTCTGAGGCTCAAGTGAAGTGGATTCCTCTGCATCATCTTTGTCCCAGGGTATTTGCTCAGTTTTTTTTGCYTCACTTTTTGAAGATCCAAACAACTCCTTCAAGTTCACAGCAATATGATAATATGTTTCCTTAGACACTTCAGGTAGCTTCTCACTCTCTTCCCTCTTCTTCTTCCTTTTAGCTTTACTGAAATCAAATGGTTTAAGGTTAATGATGCAGCACGCATTTTTGAAAGAAAGGCTCCCTTTCTGTTAATACTGCTGTTTTATTGTCTTTCTGTTTGACAATGCATTTAAAGTTGCAATATTTATATTAGTGCCTTTCTAAATTGATCTGAACACATTATTGTGTAAWTTCACTTTGAAGTTTTTGCTTTGTTTGTTTTTGATGGCAGAGGGTGTGTGGGGTTWTTTTGTTTGTTTTGCTTTTTGTTTTCCTTTCCGAGTCACTGCAGGTTCAGGGCATAGGATAATCCAAAGTTCAAATGACCATAACTGCCTTTTAAGTTATGCTTCTGATCCATTTCTTTTCCCCTCATGTAAGTTATGCACTCTTTGAAGGTGAGAAGGGGAATATATAACAGTCAGGACACTTTATGAAAGGCAGCACCACTTTCACTCCATGATTAACAGTGTCCTGACTATTTCAGTGATGAGACAACCTTCACTCATTTCATGTATGACGGAAAATAATCTAACAAAGTTTGACACAGGTTTCTTTTCTTCTTGAGAGCTAATAGCTTATTTCCAAAAAACATGCATGTCAGGGACTTTCTAGTCATAATACTAAGATGCAATACTACCTCTCTTTTTCTGTAGCATTTGGTTTCCTTTCAAAAACCGCATGGTCCTGTCTTGTAGGATCATAGCGAAGGGYGTTAATATCTCTATGGGAAAAAGAAACAAAAAAGCATGAGACACTCTGAAATTCCACAAAGTTACTTTTAAGAATCACCTTATCCAACCACTATGCCCATCTCTAAAAACAGAGACTTTCAGCTAAAACAGTTTGAGGTTTAGATTGACCCTAACACTAATGCAGCAAAGCCCATGCTGTATTTTGCAATGCAAATAGAACCATTTAATGGTTAATGCATATATTAGCTACTGTAACTGTATCTACCCCGTATCCTTAATTTAGATTTTACAAAACATTGCATCTCAAACTCCTAAATTATCTCTGGGGCATCACACATAATTTTCACCTCTGTTTATTTTCATCTGCAAACCAGAGAAAACAATCGCCTTGTTAATAACTTCCTATGGAAGTTAACAAATGCTTAAGTGCTTTTTTGTTTAGGTATTCTAAATTTGTCTCTGCTGAGAGCAGAAATCTCTCTCACATACGCAAGGACTTATTAAAATACTGTTTCTCATACTTGAAAATCCAACCATACAAAAAAAACTGTGGCAAGCTCAAGTGGCCATCTAATCACTTCTTCCGTAAAACACTAAGTACTAGCAGCATAATATACTGGGACACTGAAGCTGATAAACTGAATTAAAGACTAACTTCCGGTGCACATGACAATAATATGCCTTTTCAGTAACTAACTGAAGAAAAATTTCAGTTGCATAACAGTGACAAAACACTGTCTTTCTAAAATTCCTTCTTTCCTGATAATGTATGATTCCTACTTGAATTTCTTAGCATTTGCAGCTGTTTTAGTTGGCTTAGAGTGTTCTACATTGATATTCAAGAGGTTTCCCAGTATTTGCAGATTTTTTTTCTTCTCTGCAGCCAGCTCTTCATCTTCTGCTTCCAGTATCTTTTTCTCTGAAAACAAAAAAACATAGTATTTACAATTTTTCCCTCACTATGACCTGTTCAGGCATGTAATATTTGATACATAATATCACCACAATAGCAAAGGGGTCATGTGGCTTCGCAGGTTTACTCTAAAGCTCCTGAGAGAGTTTCTTCCCTGCACTTCAGGATCTAATCTTTGATTAGAAGCAACAAGAACATCTACCTCAYATGAAAATCAGGCCATTAATTGTTCACTCCTCACATCATATAAGTCTGCAACCTCTCTGCCACTGAGGATGCTGCATGAAGGTGTGTTTAAGATCACACTGAACAGCAAAGGGACTAGTAAACCTAGGAGAAATTTGAATTTCAGAAATAAAATTTGAGTCTTGAAAGCTAGATCAACAATTCCATTTTTGGTAGAGAAAAAAATGAATTTTTTTTTTTTTTTTCCTTTTTCAGCTTTTCTGCCTTTTGCCATTTTAAGGTATTATTCCTCCCTGGGGTTGCTGCAACTTAAGTGGACTCCAAGGTAATTACAAAACAAACAGTTGAAGTAAAAATACATAGTTTTTGACTTCTTTCAAGTCATCATTTATCTTGTGAAAAATATGAATAAATACATTATAGTATCCTAGAAATATTCTATCTTATATTAAAAAATATTCAAATGTTGATTTATCAATCAAATAATGTCTCAATCAGCTAATACCTTGGCAATATACACATTTAAGAAAACATATCTATCACTATATACTAAGTACAGTCACAACAGGGTTTTATTTACTTATTTATTTTTCATTTAAACTACCAGGAGAGCAAAGGAGTTCACGAGTCATTTCAAACATCCAAAACTAAGGTTCTACAACACATCCCTATGACTGTGATTAACCAAGAAATAAGACCAGACTTACCACCTTCTTCTTCTTCACTGTCACTTTCAATGAATCGAGCATCCAAACGAAATCTTTCATCTGTGCCAAATCGTGATTGCAAATGCAAGAGCTAAAGAAAATTAAACAGATTAAGTTGCTGGAGAATTACTGTAATCACTGCAACATACTAATAACTTCTAGTCGTCTCCTACAAAGGTTTCTCCGTATTTAAAGACAACAAGATCACAGAATCCTTTCATTCCCATCCCCGCCGAAGTTTTTTCTCCCTGACCACCGTTTCCTTCTGTTGAAGCAAGGACTTCTGTTTTAAGCTTGTCAACATTTTCATATCCAGTAAGTATGCAAATCTGCATGTATCAGATGTGTCATTACAGAGACTCAGGAGAAAACTGTAAATCACATTAAACAGGTTCACTCACTTTTTCACCTGCTTTGCCTTCAAACTGAGGTTTAATTTTGAATCTCTCGTCATCTGTACCATCTTGCTCATCCTCACTGCTTTCAAATAGCTTTCCAGAAGTCTTAGGAGCACATTCCTGTTTGTTAAACAAAGAAAAGTTATGGAAAAGCAGCCACTCTTATGAATTTTAAAAAACAGTTATGCATTTTGTTAATCAGTTTTTCAATTTGTCTGAAAAACACACTTCTTCAAGCTCACTTATATAGGTTGTGCTTTACATCTTACTTTGTATATCTACCTTGTGTAATTTATAAAATAATTTACRTAATAAAGACACAAAAGCAAAACAAACACCGAAAAGCCATAGAATATACTGAAAGGAAGAATTAAAGATGTGATGATACAACAAGCTTTACTTTGGAAAAAGAAAAGTACTTATTTGTGCTTCAAACACAGTGGCAGAATCCTGAGGAGTCTGGTAAACWAGATCTTGATTAGTTAAGGTCTAGAGAGAATATCCCCCACAGCTTTTATGGACCTTAACATCATAATGTTAGATCACAAATTGACACCAATGCATATTCTTTGCCTAGTAGCAGGTAATATGGATTAACTACAATAATTCCTAATTTAACACTTTTTTTTCTTTCACATTAAAATAACGCACAGATGCAGTAGATGAACTTTCAGGTAAACATATAGGCAAAACTTGAATATTACCGAATTATCAAGCCAGTAACAAACCCAACTACTAYTAGGATTGCACAGATAGTTAGCTATTGCACAAGCAATTTAGCAGCACAGCACAGCATACTAGCAGGGTAATAAAATAGATTCTCTTAAACCTATGGGTCTCTCTCTACACTACTCCACTCTTTTTTTTCTTTAACTAGAAGCACTGAAATACAAAACTAACTACATGCAAGTCCTATAAYGAACACTTTCCTTTTTGAAGTTAACACACTATGAAATTAAGATCATAATTTTCTACAAATTCTAAGTTGGCCACTTTTATTAAATGCAGTTGTGCGAGAATATTTACAGTCAAAAAAATAGGCCAAATATTTAGCATTTACTTTTTTTGTCATGTTACTATGAAAAGCATTCTTTAGAATAAAAATCATATCCACACAGAACTGCCTCTAAAAATACTGKGCTACACTTACTTTTTCAAGCATATTTCCCAAAGTTGCATCTTTCTCAGATATCTCAGTTACTTCACATTCACTTTCAACATCTGAATCAAAAATGATGTGTTTTTGCACACTTGCTGGTTTGCTATCCTAAATAAAAATAAAATGGAAAAGTTAAACATACTAAATACTTTCTACAGTCATAAAGATGCAACTAAAAGACATTTTCACAGTACTCAAGGAATCTAACATCCCCGCTGCAAATCTACGGACATTCCAGAAATTAAGTATGCTGCAGTTTRCATATACTCTAAAATGATAAGTGACAATGTCATCAGAAATTCCAAAATATAATTCTTAGGTCTRAATTTATGACTAATTTCTTAATCTTTCATTTAATGTTCAGAGAAAAACAGAAACAAACAAAAAAAAAACCAAAAAGTAATTACCAGATTTGAGAGAGCTCCTTGAATGAGCTTCTTCTGTAATTCTCTCTCTTTTTGCCTCTCTTCTAGAGCTGCAAGCCTCCTCTCATTATCCTGCAATTGTTTCTTATTTGTATCAGGCTCCTTTGAAGAAGCAGCATGAATCCAAAGCTTCTTGCTTTCCAGAATACCTATCTTCCCATTCTCTTTGCTTACATCTCTTTTCTTGTTTTTTGAAAGCAATTTTGGACTCTTCAGTTGTCCTTTAATGTGTTTCCGGGACACAGGAGCATTATCGTCCATGCTACTGCTCTCATCCTCACTTTCACCAGCGCTAGGAACAGCGTCTCCACACTCTGACTCTTGGTCGTCTTGTTGAGAGTTCGCGTATTTGCCCGTTCCTTGCAAGCGTGGCCTGCAAATAGGCTGTGCMCTCTTACCTGCCAAGGTGGCAGCATTTGACAGTTCCTCGAGTTGGTCACAACCCACGTTTTGCTTCTGAGCACTGACTCCAAGCGAGTGCAATGGAGTGCTCTTTGATGCAGATGACTCTTCCCCAGAGCAAGAAAAAGAAGATTCAAAATCTAAGTTTCCTAAAGACTTCTTTTTCAAACCAGGGCTGTCCTTAGCTAGCTCTTTTTCACAAAGGGATCCCATTCCTCTGAAGGGTTGATACTTCAAACCTGAATTAGTTTGTTCCTTGGCACCTTCTTCAACAGCATTTTCCTCCCCCTCTAAAATGGCAGCAACTATATCATCTGGACAGATACATTTTTTAAATGCAGAGGGAATTTTAGAATGTTTTTTATTATATGTGACACTGCCCTTTGCATTTTCTTTAACGTTACACTCCCTAGGACTCTGCGTACCATCCGCATCGTCCACTGAAGTATCACTGTTTTCAGCAGCTAATGCTTTTAGGTCATCTAATGTAAGGTCCACACGGTAACAGTTTTGCATCATAGACTCATACACAGAACTTGTATTGGATTCCAATTCCTCAGACTCTAAATAAGAACTTTCACTGTCACTTGTCTTATCCGTATTCCTCACCGTGGTACTCTGGGAGGTAGGAATTTTAGCTTTTCTTTTCCCTTCTCCTCCTACATTTTCTTTTAAATTTTGTGTTTTCAGGGAAGAACCATTTACCAAAACACATGTCTTATTAGTTAATACTTCTTTCTCACTATTTTTCCTCAGCTTTCCCTGTTTACAATCTTCTAAACTTGTAGTTTTCCTCCTACTTAGCTCAGGAGATCTACTCACAGCAATTATTTCATCTGTATCTGCTGAATCATAACCATTGTCACATTCCATAGACTCTTTATCTCTGCTACTTGCTTTGACGACTTTCCTCAAAGAATSTGCATTGTGTAAAGACCAGTGAGTATTGTATTTTAGCTTAAAGTCATCCCCAACAATTTCTAAGTGGTCACTTTCGGCCTCAGCAATTATTTCAGTTTTCTGTCTTTCCATTTCTTTCTTCATCACTGCTCTGATTTCCTCTTCAGAATCAGAACTACTGTCAGAAACACCTRAACTTTTTTGAGACACACCTCTACAAACACTACTTTTATCTGACAGTAAATCTCTTCCTGATGTTTTACTGATTGATGGAAATAATTTAGGTAACTCATTGGATTGGGATGATCCTTGTGACAAGCTTATGTTTGTTGACTGCAACGGACACCCGGAGGGGAGACCTATTGTTCCATTCAGACCCTCACTGCCCAGCTGTCTCTTTTTTTTTGGCAACTTTGCTGTTACAGGGAACTCCCCCTGTCGCTTTTTGCTTATACTGTTATCTYGTCCTTCCAAACGCCAAGTGAGCTCGCTCACAGGCACTACAGGTGTCAAGTCTTGCTCCAGCTTTCTCAGGTTATGGCAGTATTTTGATGGGTCATATTTCACAACGTTGGTCTGAGTTAAGGAATAAAAACATTATTYTTTCAGGAAACAGTCTTTACAGATAGGCTAAATGAAAGCACCTTTTTTTAAGCTTTATGAGCCTAAACCTTTAATTAGTGATAGGCAACCCAAAGAAAATTATTCAAATCACACAAATTTAGTGCAAGACTTGCTTGGGGACTYAATAAATTAGACATGGCAGAATTAATAACAGGAAAGCTATAAAGAAAATGKTTCTTTTCTTCCCCCCGCCTCCCAAATGTAGAAATAAAGAAGTATACTACAGTACAGTTCTATGCCCTAGGAATAAGGAGAGGATATTTTATTTTTCTGTTGATTCTTAAGATGAAGAACAGGTAAGACTCTGCCAAATTTACCAACAACCCAATTCTGAAAGAAAAGAAAGTCAATAACGAATTAAAAAAGGGTGGAAGGGAGTGGAGAAGCATAGAGTGATAAACAAGTCACAACAAGCAGAAAAACAATCCTGAAATAAAAGTTAATACTCTTTTGTAACAGGAACACTAGTAAAGAACATTCCCCAACTAGTTTTTTTTTTAAATTTATATATTTTTGCACTGTATGACTTAGTCATACATTCCTTCTAAAAAACAAAAAAACACACAAAAAGACATGCACACAAAAAAAACCCCAACCAAACACCCAAACCCCGAATCACTAAACCTTATTCTACAACCTGCAAAAAAATAAAATAAAGAGTATTTGTGCTCTAGAAACACAATTTTTAATATAAACCTTCTGGTTTATGAATAATATATAYGGTATCACCATTCTTTTGCCCTTTCCCCCTCCCCATCAAAGCTGAAATYATCTATCACCTTCCAAAGTATTTTGTGCTCAGGAAATAATTTTCTAAGTGTTGTAATAAATATCTTTATCCTTTCCTAAACTTCAATGGCAGTTTTATTCACAGTCTTACTTCTGCAAACACATCTTGACTAACAGACAARTGTATTACACTCTAACAGCCCAGCAGGGGGAAGCAATAAGCTTGTACCCAATACTGCTTCTGTTTGGTTTCAATTCTCTGCACAGCTACCTCACCATACCTTATGACCCGGCACCTCTGTACCTGGTACTGCTTTCATGTGAAAATCTACAATTCCAGCCTCTTTCAGTGAGTCTACTAGGTTTCTTTTGTCATCTTTGTGTGGTTTTTCTTTCTGCGTCTTTGCTTCCTCTCTCTCCACGGCCAATCTGTCGAAAAGCACATCACATGTAATAAGTTGCATCTGTGTGACCAGCAGTGACCCTCTCCCACACACTGGTAACTGTTCACTTAATGGTATCAGATCACTTATGATTGTAATTAGACTATTTTTTTTTTTTTTTAGCAAAACAATAGATGTTGCATTAGGGTTTTCATCAATCTGCAACAGTGGTCCATCAGTATCATTAAAAAAAGCAAAAGAAAAAATTGAGAGTATTACATACGAAGAAAGTGCATCCAGAATGTTATAAAGATGAGGAAAAAACTGTAGCTATTAATAACAACAAACAATACACATTTAGTTCTTGATTATACCTGTGCAAAAAACTTTCTTTGGCCAGCTCAATCTGCAGCGTGCCCCCTTTCCATTTTGTTTTATTTAAAATTGACATGCCTGTAAGACCAGAAGACTGAAAATTAGCATTTTTATGTTTAAAAAAAAAGTTAATGTTGGACAGAACAAGCTAGCTTTTATGCTGGCTTGAATTTTATTTATGCTTGAAATTTCTTTAATATGATCTCACAACTCAACAGTCACAAGTCTACACATAAAAGGACAAAGATCTTAATCTGAAACAAGAAGCTAAACATCCCAAACAAACAAAAATACTTCAAAAGCATAATGCAAGTATGCTTGCYTTAGTTCAAATGGCAATCTGAAAGTTCATATTATATGGGCTGTAATGTTTCTACAGGAAGATAGGTTCTTCTCTACTTAAATTCTTGTATGTTAAATACAGAAGTATATAAACAGATCTGAGAACCACAAGAAAAATCTGTTATATTAAGAACTTAAGAATGTTAAGTATAATGGCTTTGTGCATTTAGTTGCTCTCAAATGGCCCTCTCCTTCCTCATGGCTTTCTTATTTCTAAATACTGCTAATTCCCTGACTTTTTGCTGCTGCAGATTATACACAGAGTTCTATAATCCTGCAATTAACTTTGCAATCCAACTATATCTGAATCCGTAAAACTTCTTTACTACAAGCACATTTTATATCAACCCTCCCTATGGGTTTTCTTTCATATAAAATATTATTAGTGACTTGATACATTTGTTAATGTTTTAAAATGCCTCAGAGAGCTGCTTAAAGTATCTGAAGCACAAGTGCTACCACTTTTCATAAAAGCAGCAAGCCAGCTCTGCCTCCTCCAATTAACTGATAAACCACCTGCTTCAATCTCAAAGTAGCTTTTTAATTTACTTAAATCTTCTTTCAAGTATTCTTAGTATGTAAGTTTCCATGAAAATTAGAGCTAAACCAAGTGAAATATATATAATAGCAGAAAGAAATTGCTGACTTCTACCTTGACTATTCTGTGGTGTGACAAAAAGATACATTATCAGTGATATAATTTGGCTCAGGACATAAGTTGCTAAAGAAAGTATAAAAGTTTACTTACATTTTTTAAAATCTGTTTCAGAAATGCTGACAGTGATATACGCAAAAGTTTTGGTAGGATTCCCTGCTCAAAATAAACATTCAGTTACCTTCCATATAATTTCAACGCATCCCTTAAAACTGCAATATAAACATTCTGGGGGAAGCAGGGGAAGCCAAAAACAAAGCTGTTACCCTGCTCATCTCTTCTGGTAATAACTTCTGTATCTAAAACATGTCCRAAGTTGCCAAATCTTTCTTCCAGTTCAGCCTTAGAAATTGTATGGCCAAGCCCTCCAACATATAACCGTTTTAAAACTTGTTTCTTCTCCATTTCAAACGRTCAAGCTGTTACATCTGTAAACTGTGCTGTTTTCCTGTAAAAAGATAATAATACAATCATCGTACCAAATTATAGGACAAAACATTCTGTAAGAATGCCCT